CATATTCGGAGTCTTAGGCATATTACAAATAAAACAACAGAGCGTAAAGTACCAAATTTCTCCTTCGTTCTGATAGTAATCTTGCGCCAAAGTTAAAGACTACTTGTTCACTTTTATTAAGTAGAAAAACGTGTACAAAACGTATAGGCAAATATAAAATATTCAAAAATAAATATAAAATAAGGCAATGACGTCATCATGACGTCATCCCTTTGCAATAAATCTTGCATCGGGGTCTTCGTTGGCTATCACTTTGGGTAGGATCAAAGACTGCAAAGTTACCAAAATTGTCGCTCAGAAACGTGTACACAGTCAAGGGGCTATAAACTTGTTTGCAGAAACACTGCTTCTTTAAGTTCGTGTCACGTGATTTGAGCTTAAACTGAACAATTCTTATGAAATATTACGTCATATTCGGACTCTTAGGCACATTAGAAATAAAATAACAGAGCGTAAAGTACCCAATTTCTCCTTTGTTTTTATAGTAATCTTGCGCCGAAGTTACAGACTACTTGTTCACTTGTGTTAAGTAGAAAAACATGTACAAAACCTATGGGGAAAAATTAAATATTCAAAAATGAGTATAAAATAAGATGATGATGTCATCATGACGTCATCCCTTTGCAATAAATCTTGCATCGGGGTCTTCGTTGGCTATCACTTTGGGAAGGATCAAAGACTGCAAAGTTACCAAAATTGTCGCTCAGAAACGTGTACACAGTCAAGGGGCTATAAACTTGTTTGCAGAAACACTGCTTCTTTAAGTTCGTGTCACGTGATTTGAGCTTAAACTGAACAATTCTTATGAAATATTACGTCATATTCGGACTCTTAGGCACATTAGAAATAAAATAACAGAGCGTAAAGTACCCAATTTCTCCTTTGTTTTTATAGTAATCTTGCGCCGAAGTTATAGACTACTTGTTCACTTGTGTTAAGTAGAAAAACGTGTACAAAACCTATGGGGAAAAATTAAATATTCAAAAATGAGTATAAAATAAG